AAGACACGGCGTGGCGCAGCTCCTGCAGCATCTCCTGGCACACCGACACCTGGGGGCGGCGCGGCGGTCACCGTCCGGGCGCGCTCCTCGCCTCCCCCTCCCCCGGCCTCTGCAGCCTGCCCTCCGCTCCCGCCTTCCTCGCTCCTCTCCACACCCCGTTCCCCCTCCTCCTCCTCTCTTCCTGCTGCCCTCAACTCTCTTCCCCTTCTCTTCCCTTAGTCCTTTATCTCTCCTGTTTTCTCTCACCTCTTCACCCCCCTCCGGCTTCCCGCTTCTCTTGCATGTCTCCTTTCTTCCTTGAAAGGTTTGTTCTTGGGTCTGCCCTTCACCTCTTTTCTAGGCTCCTCTCTTTCCTCTTGTCTTTTCGCTCTAAGTTTTCTGACTGCCTCCAGATCTTCCTGCATACTTATTTCCCATCCTCTGCCCTTCATTCATGCATGCACTCATTATTGCATAGCTTATAGAGCACTTACTGTGTGCCAGGCCCTGTTCTGGGCACTGGGGATACAGCAGAGAACAAAATAGAAGTCCCAGGCCTCGTGGAGGTTACAATCAAGTGTGCAGAGACAAAAAAAATCACAGATATGTATGTAGTATGTTAGATGGTGATGCGTGCTTTGGAGAAAAATAGGAAAGAGGTAGGGAGTGTGGGTGGGGAGTGACGCTGAACTTAGAGACAGGACAGTCAAGGAAGACCTCACTGCGAGGATGAGCCCTAAGAAAAGACAGGGTGAGCCACGTGGAAACCTGGGAGGAGAGTGTGCTGGGTAGACAACAGGCCAGGGCCAAGGCACACAGGTTGCAGCCACTTGGCATGTCTCAGGAACCCCAAATAGTGGATGTGCCCGGGGGGGGGGGGGGGGGGGGGAGAGGGAAAACAAGGTCAGGGGAGCACAGGTGTCCAGCTCAGATAAGGCCCATAGGCCACTGGAAGGATTCTGGATTTCATTTTGAGTCAAATGGGAACCATTGGAGATTTTTAAGTAGAGGACTACTGTGTTTTCATAGGATCACTTGAGCTGCATTAAGATTAGATTGTATGGAGGCCAGGAGTAAGAGCAGAAAGCCACCAAGGAAGTTACTATAGTAACCCAGGCAGGAGATGGTGGGGGCTGAACCACATGATATGAGAAGGGGTCGGACTCTGGATATATGTTTACGGTGGAACCAGCAATAGATCAAATATGGAGCATGAAAGAAAAGGAGTGAAGGGTAACTCCGTGTATTTTGGCCTGAGCAACTAAAAGGATGGTGTTGCCTTGTGGGTGAACAGGAGCTTGGTATTGGACATGTAACAACAGGCATACCCTATCAGATATCCACACAGAGATGCCAAATATGGAGCTGAACTTGCAGACCTTGGCTTCAGGGGAGATACGTTCCATGTGGGGTTACAGTAGGAGATCTCCAAGATCCCATCCCTGGTATTCACGCCCTCATACCATCCCCTCTGACATTGTATCTGGGTTGGTCTGTGTGACCAAGAGGATATGGTTAGGTCATTGGACATTCTGGTTTCTGCTTGCTTTCTTGGATTACTCGCTCTGGGGGACATCAGTTGCCATGGCATGAGGACACTCAAGCAGTCCTATGGGGAGAGGCTCTTGTTTGAGGAACTGGGGCCTCCTGTCCATCACCATGTGAGTGTATTCATTGTGTTTTGAAATCTTCCATGTCTTCAGATTTTTGACCTCTTAAAAAGCTTGCAGGCTGAGAGACTGCCCTTCCCAGAACTAGCCAAGTCTTAGAACAAAGGGCTCAGCTGCCTTTCATATGCAAACCAACCAAATCCTGTCTATCCCCTCAGTTTCCCCTTTTACCAAATTCTCACACGCCACGCCAATATGTCCCCTGTCCTAAATCAACCCAGGGTCAGGCACCAGACAGCTAGGGATGGCTCCCCTAGCCCAGAGTCTGCCAAGATTACTCAAACTGGCCAACCCTAAACTGCTTCCCTTGCCCTGCTTGCCTTTCCCAAGGAAACCCCAATTGAGACTGAGGCCTACTGGCTCCTGCTTCCAGTGTTTTCCCTTTCCCCCTTTTCTAGAGAAATGTAAGTAATAAAAACCTTCTTTTAATTAGCCGGGCATGGTAGCACACCCTTGTAGTTCCAGCTACTTGGAAGGCTGAGGGGGAAGGATCGCCGGGGCCCAGCAGGTCGAGGCTGCGGTGGCTGGGAACATGCCACTGCACTCCAATCTGGGCGACAGAGTGAGACTCCAACTCAAAAAAAAATAACCTTCTTTTGGTGAATTATCCTCTCCATGACTTGAGATAGTGGACCTTCCAGCCCCAGCTGTGCCTTCATAACACAGCAGCCACAGCCAACAACATGGCTAGGACGTCACCAGAGGCCTGTGGCAGCCAGAATCACCCAGCAAAGCTGTTCGTAGGCTCCTGACCCACAGAAACTGTGAACTGAAAAAAGTGAGCTGTCTTAAGCTGTCAAGGCAACTTGTTACGGTAGCAATAGATAACTAATACAGGAGTTACCAGCACACAGGTGGTCTTAAAAGCCATTTGGCTGAATGGAATCACTGATGGAGTAGAGAAAGAGAAGAGAAACAGTCCAAGGACTTAGCCCGTCCCAACAAACAGGTTGAGGAGAAAGAGGAACCCAACGAAGGAGCCCAAGGAGTGGCCAGAGAGTTAGGAGGGGCAGACAGAGAAGAAGGGGTTTTGAGGATTGAGGACTGACAGTGACTGGTTGTGCTGAAGCCTACTACTACCTCACAGAGATGAGGCCTGAGACTTAGGCATTGGATTTTAGACATGGAGGTTGCTGGCGACAAGAGTGGCATCAGTGGAGTGGCAGGGACAGAAGCTGGTTTCAAGAGTAAGTGGAGGAAGGAAAATGGAAACAGCAGGGAGATGCACTTAAGGTGGTAAAGGGAAGGGGAGAAATTGGGTGGGGTGGTGGCTGGGGGAAGTGAGGTGAAGAGGGGTTTCTTTAAGACTGAAAGAGTAGCCGGGCTCAGTGGCTCAGCCTATAATCCCGCGCCTTTGGGAGGCTGAGGTGAGTGGATTGCCTGAGCCCGCGGGTTCGAGACCCACCTGGGCAACTTGGCGAGACCTCATCTCTACAATAAATCAAAAAATTATTAGCCGGGTGTGGTAGTGTGCACCTGTAGTTCCAGCTACTCGGAAGGCTGAGGCGGAAGGCTCGCCAGAGCCTAGCAGGTTGAGACTGCGGTGGCCGGGAGCGGCCACTCCACTCAAGTCTGGGCGACAGAGTGAGACTCCAACTCAAAAAAAAAAAAAAAAGACTGAAAGAGTAACAGCACACTGGTATACTGATGGCCTGAGCCCAATAAAGAGAAGACAACTGATGATGCAGGAGGAAAGGAGAGGCTTGCTGGAGGGATGTCCCTGGTAGGGCAAGAGAGGAGGCGCCCTGGACATGGGTGGAGGGCACCCTTGCTGGCAGCATGGAGCCCACAGCCAGGTGGAGAGTGCAGGCAGGCGGCTAGGTGCGGAGCCGGGACTCTGGGTAGTAGATGCAAGGTCAGTGGCTGGAAGTGAGGAGGTGGAGTAGGGGCTGGCGGCTGGCAGAGAGAGGGAAGCAGGGAACTAGCAGTCCAGGAGTGCTGGAGCACAAATGGGTCTGGAATCACAGGGTATCACTGGGCAGCCCCAAGGGCCCACTGAAGTAGCCATCCTGAACACAGCATGAGACTGGTCAGTGAGGCTGTGTCCTCTTCAGGTTGTGTTCAGCTGCTTTCTCATCATCTCTGTCCTCTGATTTCTTCTTGCTTTGCCGCCTCTGTGGCTCCCCACATTCAGCCCCTCTCACCTCATTTCCCCTGTAGCCTCATCACTTTCTGTGACGGCTTTCCCTCCTGTCCTTCCTCATGCCCTCGATTCTCTGTCCCCCGTCTGCTCTCTCACCTCCTCAGGCCCCTCCTCACCTCCTGCCTTCCTCCTGCTTCTCCAGACCCCACCCTCCTCCAGGCATGGCTCCTAATGCCATGATCTTCACGTGTCTCAGTTCTGGGTTCCCCTTCCTGCCCACCATACCCTTCGCCCACTTCCTCACCTCCTCAGACTCTGCTGACCTCCGTGTGGACCATATGAATTCCATGACTGCCACGAAGACAGCAATGATGAGGCCACAGATGAGCACGACAAAAATGCCACCAATGTTCTCCATGCCCAAACCTGGGGGTTGAGGGGGTAGAGGCATGGGGTTGGAGCTGGGTGGACAAGGGGTCTGAGAGGGAGCCTCAGGAAGGGCACACCACATGCGAGGATGGCTGACCTTTAGCACGATGGTCCTCCTCCTTGGGGCACCGGCCTCCCTCCCACCACTTGCGCTTCAGAATCTCCAGTCGGTTGTTCTCCTGAAGCTGCAGGATGGCCAGTGTGATCTCATCCCGGAATGGGGAGCCTGGACCAGACATATGAGGGTGGATTGGTCACTGTGGCCCTAGTGCCCTGCCTGCCCCAAACCTCAAGCTGCTCCCTCACTATGGCCTTCTCCCGCCTCTGCCACGTGTCCAGGTCTTCACTGTGGCCTTTTCTCACCCCCTACCCAGTCTCCTCTCAACAAAGGAGCCAGAAAGACAGTTCTAGGAACAGCCACAGGTCATGCCTCTAGTAGCTTCCCGCTGCAACGAGAGCAAAGTCCTCCCTTTGGCCTGGAGACCCTGCATCCATGGCCTGCCACTCTCAGGCACCCTCCCCCCACCATGGTTCTCTCAGGTCCAGCCACACAGGCCTCCTGGCTGCTCCCTGAATCTACCAAGCACAGTCCCACCTTGGGACCGCTGCCTCTGCCTGAAATGTTCCTTCTTTCACTTCATTCGGATCTCTGCCCACATGCTGGCTCCTTGGGGGTCTTCTCTGACTACTTTATTTTAAATGGCTCCAAGCACTCCATTCCCTGTCAGTCTCTTCCCCTAATTTACATCATGGCAGCTGACATTATCTGCCACCCCTAGGTGAAGGCAGGTCCCTAGATGAGGATGCAGCAGCTGCCCTGCCGTGGTATCTCAGCATCCAGTGCAGGACTTGGCACATGGTAGGGTGTCAGATCAACTGCTTAGTGTGTGAGTCCCCATCCATCTCTCCCCTGGACCAGTTCTCTCCTCCCTACTCCTGGGCCCCCGTAAACCACCTCTGGGCCCTAGGGCCCCACAAACCCTATTCTGTACTTATTTCTTCATTCACTAAGATACTCTTTAAGCATCCACTACTGGCCAGGAACTAGAATTCAGGCAAGTGGAGGCGACTAATATTTTTCAAACACTAACTGCATGCCAGACCTGGGGTTTGTTCAGGTCTCACAGTGATCCTATGAGGCAAGTATTACTATGTGAGGCAAGTGTTTCTGAATGAGAAAAGTGATGCTCTTGCCTAAGGTCATGCACAGAGTCAGGGAGGGAACTGGGATTTGAATCCAGGTTGGTGTGACTCCCAAGTCTGTTCCCCAAAGTATCAGGCTACTCTGTATCCCTGGCATGGCACTGACTCACCTACAAAGCTGCAAGATTTGCGGCAGTTTGTTATTCTGTAATAGATAACTAATGCAGCATCATCAGCATATAGATGATTTTAAAAGCCAAAAATGCCAAAATTTGGTGACAAATTGGTGGGAGGTTTTCAGTACTGAGCCCTAGAAAATCATGTCCTGAAGTATAAATGGGCATGTTCAAGTCTCCCTAGCAGGTGTTTCCATCCTTCTTTCCAGCCATCCATCCATCCATCCAACCAACAAGCTTTTTCTGAGCATCTTCTCTGAGCCAGGCTGTTGGTTTTGTGCAGAGAATATGAAGCAAATATGACCAGGTCCTCAATCTCAAGAGGCCCTTTAGCCAATGGTGAAAGGCAGCAAGCCTCATGGCCCACATGTGCAGAACTGCACACAAAGTCTCACTGGAGTCTCCCAACAGCCCTGCAAGGCTGGAACAGATTACTCCTAGGCCCGGTTTTACAAGTTTAAAGCACAGAGGCTCAGGATGGTGATGTCACCTACCCAAGACCACACAGTCAGAGGGTCACACACAACAAGCCCAGCCTGCTTCAGAGAGGGTCTGGTTGGGTCCCAGGCCTGCTCACACATCTTGTTTCAGATGCTCAGGCCCCCGCCATACTCCATACCCCTGCCATGCCATACCCAGCGGCATGCCGATGCCGTAGCCCTTGGTGTCGAGGAGGCCCCCGATCTGGGTGAGATTGCAGTTGAGGCGCCGGTGGTACTCATTCATGGTAGACTCAAGCAGGAAGGCATAGCGGGAGTTGAGGACGCGGGCGATGCCCTCTTCCGTGCTCTTGACAAACACGCTAGGCTGCTTCGACTGCATGTAGTTCCACATACGCTGGTATGTCTGGTACCGTGAGTTCTGGGCAGAGGGAGCACAAGGGGAAGACAGGTGAGGGTCCTCCCACCCCCTTCCTTTCTCCCAAACCCTGTCCCCTGTCCTCCAGGAATTATCTCTCAGGAGAGAGGAAAGAGATGAGAGGAAGATAGTGCCAAAGACAGAGGTGAGACAAAACAGACAAATCCAAGACCAGGTCCAGGCCATCCCCACAGCCACCAGTCCAATGACACTACTCTTCCTAGATGTCCCACCACCCACCTGGGAGCCCTGGAAGTATGCATCTCTCCCACCCTCTGGCCCTTCAGCCAGTGGCTCCTGCCCAGTTCTGGCCTTTTCTACAACACTAGTCTACCCTCAGCCCAGCCCCAGAGGGAACTTTCAGCTCTAAATGGTCACCCCTCTGCTCAGTAACTGTTCCTACCTCCCTACAGACAAGGTCTAGTCTAGCACCCCATCCTAGCATTCAAGGCTTCTGCAGTTTCTGCTCCTAACCTCCCCACCAGGCTTGCTTTCCTTTCATTTCCTTCCCACTGCCCCCAAAATACACGGGATCGAGCTCCTTTCACTTTGAAGGACCTTGTTTTCTCTCTGCCAATCCGTTTTCCTGGGTCTGTCCCTTCTAGTAGCTTCTTTGACCCCACTTGATCTGTATGGCACTGATATGACGTTAGATCCCACATCTTCCTCCCTGCCACTATCCCTCTGCTGAAAGTCCAGTTCCCCAGACAGCAGCACTCTGCATAAGAGCATGAGTGTCTCCTGCTCCTCAGACCTCCAGACCGTTACTGACAATCAGTCCCTCTGACCTCAGAGGAACCGCCCAGCCCCTTCCTGAGCTGCTGTGCATGGCAGGGATCCCAACCCCCAGCCTGGAAGGTTCTGGATGACCCCACCTGGAAGAAGGTCATGGTGGAGCCAGCGTGGATGGTGCCGTACTCGATGTTGGTCTGATCTGCCAAGTCATCAGCCGACTCCACAGGCACCTCCATGCGCTGCACGGTGAGGAAGGCGGCCAGGTTGGCCGTGTAGGAGGAGATGATGATCAAGGTGAAGGCCCACCTAAGGGGTGGGAGGGGTGAGCCACAGGCTGCAGCCACCTCTGCCACTCTGCCCCTGTGGCCATGCATCCTGTTAGTGGTGCTCACCCTTCCACCAAGTTACCCCAGCATCCAGAAGGTTCAGTGACTGCTGACTAGGGAGAGGCTAGGAGTGTGGATTCTGGAGTCAGACTCCCTGGGTTTAAATACTACATCCAGAGATTTCTACTTCCAGATCTAATGAGATGATTTGGAAATACCCTCCCACCATAAACAGCTAGAATACATAAACTGGACAGAATACAGAAAAAGTATTTAAAGACACAGGACAAACAGGTATCACAGGACTGTGATCCCTGAGAACAGAAACAAAGTAAATCTTATCATTGTCCAGGCTGTCTGGCTGGATTTTGTTGATAGAATGCAGCACTAAGAAAGGAAACCAAAATAGTCCAGTAGTTCTACTGAGTTGCAGAGATGGAGATCAGAAATCATGGAGGCCAAGATGGCTAGAATTTGTAGGACAGAATATCTGGGAGGAGGGAGCTACACAGAAAGAGAAGGTGTGGAAATCTGGGGTTCCCCTGAGTCCTTGACTGAGTATAAATCTGTGTATGCATGGGGAGAATTCCATGGGACTGAACAAGAAAAGCTTTCAAGGAGAGAACAATTCCAGATTTACACAGGGCTAGGATTCTTTTGAGGTCCCCAGGCAAAGGAGAGAGATCTCACTGAATACATGAGACATTCAATAGAGACTCTAAAATGCAACATATTAGAAATCGGGTTAACCTAGCTATAGAAAAAAGGCAATGCTAGGCCTTCCCTAAAAGAGATTAAAACCTAGCCTGGAAGAATCAAAATAATTCGCAAGTAACTTAACTGCCTGCCAGAAAAAGTCTAAGACTCCTTTTGTTTTTTAGTCGGGGTTTCACTCCGTCACCCAGCCTGGAATGCAGTGGTGCAATCATGGCTCACCACAACCTAGATCTCCTGGGCTCAGGCAATCTTTACACCTCAGTCTCCTGAGTAGCTGGAGCTACAAGCATGCACCACCACACCTGGCTAATTTTTTTTTTTTAAAGATGAGTTATTATTTTGTTGCCCAGGCTGGTCTTGAACTCATGGGCTCAAGCAATCCTCTTGCCTCAGTCTCCCAAAGTGCTGGGATTACAGGCATGAGTCACCGCACCCAGCTGAGACTCTTTAAAGAAACACGGTCAACAATGCAAACAATATAAAATTCACAATATATTTCATCTAATTTTTTTTTAAAACACCAGATACACAAGGATGCAGAAAAATATGACTTACTAATATAACGAAGAGAAAAATCACTCAACTGAAACAGACCCAGAACTGACAAGGATAACGGAATTAGCAGACAAGGACAGTAAAACAGTTCTCATAAATATATTCAGAATGCTCAAGGGTGTAAAGAAAAACATGAACATAACAAGGAGAGAAATGGAAGCTACAAAAAAAGTAAATGGAATTTCTAGAGAATGATATACACAACATCTGAAAGGAAAATTTTACTAGAAGGGATTACACAAATTAGATGCTACAGCAGAAAAGATCAGGGAATTTGAAGACAGAAATAGACTCTATTCAAAACAAAGCACAGAGACAAAAATGACTGAAAATGAGCACACAGCCTCAGTGGCCTGAGGAATAATATCAAGTGACTTTACATATGTGATTGGAGTCCCAGAAGAAGAGGAAAGAAAGCAACAACAACAAAAATTAGGAAGTAATGACCTAAAAATTTTCAAATTTGATGAAAACTATAAACTTGCAGATCTGAGAAGCTCAATAAATCCCAAGTAGGATAAACACAAAGATTTACAAAACATGCCAAAGCACTTTTTTTTTTCTTTTTTGAATCAAAGTGTCAAGAGTCTCACTCTGTTGCCCAGGCCAGACTGCAGTGGCATGATTATGGCTCACTATAGTCTCAACCTCCTGGGCTCAGGTGATCCTTTCACCTCAGCTTCCAAGTAGTTGGGACTACAGAGTGCACCACCATGCCCAACTAATTTTTAAATTTTTTTGTAGAGATGAGGTCTCACTATGTTGCGTAGGCTGGTCTTGAACTCCTGACTTCGAGTGATCCTTTGGCCTTGGCCTCCCAAAGTGCTCATACAAGCATGAACCACCACACCCAGCCCTGGCACTTATACTCAATTGCTGAAGACCACTGATAAAGAGAAGAGTCTTATAAGCAGCTAGAAGAAGGGAAAATATATTTCATAAAGAGAATCAAAGATAACAGTGCCAGCAGACTTCTTGTCAGAGAGTGTATAAGCCCAAAGATGATGCAATGTGCGGAAAGAAAAATCAAAACAAAACTGTCAACCTAGAATTCCATATCTGGCAAAAAAAGAAGACACACTAACACATTTTTCATACAAAAGCAAGCAAGGAGAATTAATGCCAGCAGACCTGCATGTCAAGAAATGTTAAAGGAAATTCTTCAGAAGAAAGGAAAATAGTACTAGATGGAAATGCAGATATACACAAAGGAATGAAGAGCATCAGAAATGGTAGGTATGTGGATAAATACAAAAGACATATTCCTCATTAAAATTTTTCTTACATTTATTGTTAAAGTAAATACACACACAAAAACCTAATATTATTGCGGGATTCATAAGACATGCAGAAGTAATATATATGATTATATCTCAAAGGATGAGAGGGACCCTTACTGTTTGTCAGGGTCTTACATCTTACACAAAGTGTTATAATGCTACTTGAAAGTAAATTAAAGATGCATATTGTAAATCCAGAGCAATCATGAAGAAAAATAAACAAAAAGAAGTATAGCTAAGAAGTCAAGAGTGGAGATAAACAGAATCCTAAAAAGATAAGGAAAGAGGAAAAGGAGGAATGCAGAACAAGTGGGATAAAGAGGTTGGCAGATTTAAACCCAACCATATCAATAATTACATTAAAGATAAATTATTGGTCAATCCCTTCAGGTCCCCTCCTGCTCTGGGAGCTTTTCTGTCCTTTCAATAAATCCTGCTTTCTCCAAAAAAAAAAAATGATCTATATTAGGGGTTTGTAATGACCATATCTGGCATCTATTTCTGTACGGCCCACTTGCTAAAAATGCTTTTCATGCTTTTGTTTTATTTTATTTATATATTTTTAGAGACAGGGTTTTACTCTGTTGCCCAGGCTGAAGTGCAATGGTGTGATCATAGCTCACTGCAGCCTCAACCTCTAGGGTGCAAGAAATTCTCGTACCTAGGTCTCCAGGTGCCATCAAACCTGGCTTCTTCTTCTTCTTCTTATTATTATTATTATTATTTTGTGTCAGAGTTTCACTCTGTTGCCCAGGCTGGAGTGCAGTAGCATGCTCACGGCCACCCCAGCGTCGACCTTCTGGGCTCTGGTGATGCTTCCGCCTCAGCCTTCCAAGTAGCCAGAACTACAGGTGCACGCTACCATGTCCGCTAATTTTTTGAAATATTGAACAGATGAGGTCTCGCCAAGCTTCCCAGGCTGGTCTTGAACCCCTGGGCTCAGGCAGTCCTTTCACCTCAGCCTCCCAAAGTGCTGTGATTATAGGCTTGAGCCACCATGCCCAGCTATTATTATTTTTAAGAGATAGCGTGTCACTCTGTCATCCAGGCTGGAAAGCAGTGGCATGATCATAGCTCACTGCAACCTTGAACTCCTATGCTTAAGGGATCTTCCCACCTCAGCCTCCTGAGTAGCTGGGAAAACAGGCACAAGCCACCATGCCTGGCAATTTTCACATTTTTAAATGGTTGAGAAGAAACCAGAAGAAAAATAATATTTCATGATACATGACTCATATAAAATTCAAATTTCAGTGTCAGTATCCATAAATAAAGTTTTATTGGAACATAGCCACACTCATTCATTTATGTATTATCATTGGCTGATTTCATACTACAATGGCAGAATTGAGTAGTTGCAATGAAGACCATATGGCTAGCAAAGTAAAAAATATTTACTTAGTGAGTCGGGCATGGTAGCTCGTACCTGTAATTCCAGTAACTCAGGAGGCTGAGGTAAGAGGATCACTTGAGGCCAGGAGTCCAAGACCAGGCTGGGCAACACTCTGGGCAACTTTCCATCTCTTCTAATGAGATAGAAAAATCTTATCTCTTTTAAAAATTAGCTAGGCATGGTGATGCACACCTGTAGTTCCAGCTACATGGGAGGCTGAGGCAGGAGGATCACTTGAATTCGAGGCTGCAGTGAGCTATGATTGCACCACAGCACTCCAGCCTGGGTGACAGAGCAAGATCTCCACCTTGCTACTTATATATTAAACAAAAATCATAAATTAAAAGTCATATTTTTTTACTTAGAAGAGAAGAATTGTAATGTTCCCCAAACAAATATAAATGCTTGAAGTGACAGATATCCCAATTACTCTAATTTGATCATACATATTGTATATATGTATCAAAATAGCACATGTACCCTCAAAAATATGCCCAATTATATATCAGTGAAAAAACTTTTAAAATATTTACTCTCTGGCCCAATACTGAAAAAGTTTGCCAACTCCTGGTCCAAAACCTAAGTAGATGCTTTTATAAGAAACACACTTTTGGCTGGGCTTGGTGTAATCCCAGCACTTTGGGAGGCCGAGGCGAGTGAATTGCCTGAGCCCGCGGGTTCAAGACCAGCCTGGGCAACTTGGCGAGACCTCATCTCTACAATAAATTAAAAATTAGCTGGGCACGGTACTGTGCGCTTGTAGTTCTGGCTACTTGGAAGGCTGAGGCGGAAGGCCTGCCAGAGCCCAGCAGGTCAACGCTGGGGTGGCTGTGAGTGTGCCACTGCACTACAGCCCGGGTGACAAAGTGAGACTTCAACTCAAAACACACACACACACTTTAAATATGATATAGGCAAATTGATAGTAAAAAAAATGGGAAAAATATATACTCTGCAAGCACTAAGCATCAGAAAGCTGGGTGCCTATATTAGCATCAAACAAAGTTAATCTAATCTTAGGACAAGGAATGTTAC